AATATGGATAAATAATTGCAATCGTGATATCCTGTGTATATATATACATATATATATATATATGGCAAATATTGTCTCATTCTCTTGCTTGTCTTTCAGGTTAATTCCTAAGGCCTTGATCACACACACACACACAAAAGCGTGTTGCACAATCAAATCGGTTGGTGTCTTTTTTTGTAGTTTCTGGTTTTGAAATCTATCCCAACACATGGTTATTATTATTATTAAAAAAAAAAAAGTAAGGTTGTGTACCTCTCTAATAATGCTGTTTCTGGTGAATGATCGAAAAGTCGCATTTTTTCCCCGGGTCTCCTTCGGGGAGGAGGCAGGCTCACTTCTACAGTTAGCAAACACCTTTTCCCAGGAGCCCAGAGGAGAGCCCACCTTCCACCCAATGCGCCCGCGGTGGAGGTCGCCACGTGTCCCCTCTGCACGGCTTCCTGGAGACCCACCATGCACAGGAGCCCAGCGACGCCCAGGGCAGGATGCCTGCTCTGGGTTTAAAAATGCACAAAGCCTGTGGCCGGGGAGAGCTGCTAATGCTGTCTGCTCAGGGCTGACCCAGGGCTGGCGAGTGGGTGGGAGGCTCAGGGGCTGGGGAGGGGGCCATGCTTATTTCTTTCAACCCCCTCATGCACCTGGTGTTGTTTGCTGTTCTGCTGAGAGCTGTTAGAACGCCGGCAGGCATCCCAACTCCACCTTTTGGAGAGCTTATGGGGTTGACAGGATACAGAACGGTTGGGGAGGAGGTAGAGACCAGGGATGCACTCTGGACCCTACCATGAGCAGGGCGCCCCACCCCAGCAAGGACTGAAGCCCTTGAGAAGGGAAACCCCAGCAGGGAGCTGGCGTGACCTGACTTTTGCTCCTGGTAATTTGCCCAGATGCCCATGATGTGCATGTGCATCGGAGCCAGAGGCTTGTGTTCCACTTGGAGAGAGATGTGCCTGTCCCACGGCAGTTGGAGAGGCGGGAGGCTGCCCTCTGCACAGCTGACCAGCCACCAGACACTCCCATCGAGCATGCACACCCCCGATGGTGCCCACTGCATTTTCGTCTCCATCGTTCCACACAGAGACTGCTGAGACATATGTCGAGGAAGCTGTGGGGGTGGCCTGGGAAGGGAGAACACCCCCACATCTTTTCTCAGGGCCTGGCACAGGGTTCTGCTTGGCTCAGCCCCAAGCTGGCTTCTGCGCTCAGAAGTCTCTCTTGCTACAGGACAGAGTTTCTCAGTGAGGGGCAATGTCTGGAAACATTTTCAGTTGTTACAGCTGGGAGTGCTCCTGGCAGCTGGTGGGTGGAGCCCAGGGATGCTGCTCCAGATCTCACAGCGCACAGGACGTCCCAGCTCAAAGAATGGTCCAGCCCCAGATGTCAGTCCTGCTGATGCCAAGAAACTGCTTTAGCACAAGAGACTCTATCCATCCGTCCATCCATCCACCCAACCATCCATCCACCCATCCATCATAACTATCTATCATCTAACTATCTATCTATCTATCTATCTATCTATCTATCTATCTATCTATCTATCTATCATCTATCATCTATCATCCATCCATCCATCACAGTAGCTAGCACCCCAGGGGCGATTCTGCCCCTCAGGAGACCATTGGCAATGTCTGGAGTTGTTTCTGGTTGTCACACTGAGGGAGGGAACAGCATGCTCCTGGCATGTGGTAGGTAGAGACCAGGGACAGTGCTCCACACCCTACAGTACACGGGATGCCCCACCTCAGACAGTGACCCGCCCCCACATGTTACTAGTGCCAGGTCGAAATCCTGCTGCTGGGTAACTTCTTACCCACGGAAAGGCGACAATTTGGGAACCTCACTGCCCCATGTAGTAAAGGAGGCAGGAGCTGTCTGGGACATTCGGAAATAGATCTCTGATTGTTGGAGGTCTGTCCCAGGACCCATTCCTCAGAGGAGGGCCCTTGCACACAGCACTCCACAGTTTGCTCACTTGAGGCCAGAATGAGGCCAAACAGAATGAGCTGTGACACGGATGTGTGGGGACACTTGGCAAATATTAGAGACAACCGCAGCACCAGCCCAGAGGCCAGGGAACCTCCGCCTTCCCCTGGAAGCGAGGGGGCTTTCGGGGGCTGAGCAGGACTCACATGAGACCTGCCCCTTCCCCCGCCTGTCCAGCTTCATGTGAACATTTCTCCCCTTCCAGGCTGGCGGGCTGGGGATAGAACACGGGGTACTGACCCCAGAGGGGGCTCTTCCCAGATATTTCTGCCCGGGTGCCTTTGGAGCATGCCAAGCCCCTGTTCCCCATGGGGTTGCGAGTGGGTGACTTGACCCACTGGGGAACCAGATGAGATCCAGCAAAGCCCTGCTCTGGGGAAGCCGAGATGCTGGAATAACAGTAATAATAATAGCTGGATAATAATTATATCGTTGGGCAATATCCGTCGGATCGCTAATGAAGGTTAGCATGGGCGATGTCCTGTTGGACCCTTTTCTCTCATTTCTGGAGCCTCAGTTGTGCCGGTTCCCACAGTGTGGGATGTGGAATCCTAGCTGGGGGTTCCCTGACACCCCGATGTCAGTGCGGGGTTGGGAGGCGCAGTTTTCATAATAGCACAAAGACCTTGTTCATCTTTTTAAACCACGTTGGTCCGTGCGCTGATGGTGTAGACACGACGTGGGGTGAACCTGTGGGGCAGGCGGCTGGGTGACCCCCCTCTGGGACTCCTCTCTCCTCCTCCCCCACCCAAGGTGACTTGACAGGGCAGGAAGCCCTGCTGTTCCCTTCCTGAGCAACAGCACGTCAGCTCCCCCCTGCAGACGTGCGTCCCCTGGACCCCCTCAGCCGGCAGGACGATGACAACCTGCTGGACCAAGGAGGGCCACAGACAATGAAGAGTTCTGGAAAGAGTTGCCTGGTGTTTCTGATCACTGGTCCTTGTGCTCTCTCCTGGGGCCCTAGCCAAGAGTTGTCCCCTCCCCCACGAGTTCCTGGCCCATCTGGCAGACGCTTCTCTCCCTCTGTGAGTCTCCATGGCTCACATGTCTCCCGTCCCAACACCAACTCCTACCCCACATTCTTCTCATGAGCCTTTAAGGTGGGTGTCCAACATGTTCAGCTCGCCAGGGCCGCGTCCCTGGGTACCTGCTGCCCCTGTGCTCCCCCTTTCTCTGTACATTCAACTATACTCATGCAGTAGTGGGAGGGTTCAAAGCGGGGGCTCCTGGGTCCACACACGAGCCACATGCCTCCCTGTCCTGCCCAGTTCTGGACGGTTGACTTGAACTACTTCCTAAATTTCACTTGTGCGCACCTCCATCCATTCAAGGATGCACGCATTCACTCATCCCCTTGTTCATACATTTAATTCGTTCACTCGTGCACACATTCACTCATTCACGAATACTTGCATTCACTCATTCCCTTGTGCATACATTTGATTCAGTCATTCACTCCTGCGCACACCACTCTTTCTTGGATACGGACCCTCACGTACTCATCCAATTACGCATACATGAACTCACTCATTCATGCCTTGAGCGCACTCATTCACTCATTCCTAGATCCCCTCCTTCATTCACGCACGCATGCATTCAGTTATTCCTGTCCGTGCTCACTCACGCACCGGTGCGCGCATATCCTCACGCATGCCTTCGCTCGTGGGTACAATCTTGCATTCATGCATGCGGCCCGTCACTCACACGTCCAAGCCCGGAGAGCGTGGACGGCACCCACCCGCTCCCTGCGGGCCTGCACAGCCGCACTCCTGCATGCGCACGCGCGCCCTCACTCACGCACACACTCCCTGGTGCATCCGCCCATGCGTGCATGGATTCAACCGCTGAGGCGCCAAGTCTCCATTTATCTTGTGATCCTCTCTGGCGTCCATGCGTGCGCCCATGCTCGACTCCTTCCTTCGCCCACCCCCGAATTCAGTAAGATCGCGTGTGCCTCTGTCCCGCCGGGGAGGTTTCCAAGCGTGGCCTCTCCAGGGCAGCCGGCTGGCCTTGGGCCCAGGCCGCCAGGCCACTGCAAACATTTACTCTGGAGCGGGCTGGGTGAAGGTTAAATGTCCAAACTAGAAACCACGGGCTCCCGGATTCCGCGGGGAGGGGGCCGCGGGGGGCAGGGGCGGGGCGCGGGAACGAAGGGCGGCCCAGGCCCCTCTGCGGCTCTCTCCCCGGGCACTGAGACAGGCGGCAGGCGGCGCGCCGGCAAGGCGGGCTGGGGCCGCAGCTCTGTGGTGGGGGACCCGCGCCCGGAGGCCGAGCGGGGGTGGGGCCGGGCTTCCGACGAGCGGCCAATCGCGGGGCGCGGGCCGCGGGCCGCGAGGCCCTCCCAGCGCCGGAGGGGCCAGAAACCACCGGAGCGCGCAGGAGGTGTGGGGGGCGAGGGGTTGCGGGGGGCTGGGGAGGGATCTGCGGAGTGTGGCGCGGGGGCTGCCTGAGCGCCCCGGAGGTGCGGGGGGGCGCCGGCAGTGCGGCAGCGCTAGGGAGGCGCGGGGCGGCGGGTGTGGGGAGGGCCGGGGCTGCGGGAGCGCGCAGGAGGTGCGGGGGCGTGGAGGCCGCTCGGGCGTGCCGGGAACCGGGGCGGGGGGGTGGCCGCAGGGCTGCCAGAGAGCCGAGGGACGAGGTGTGCAGCGTGGGGCGCGCAGTGGGGTCTTCGCGAGAAAGGAGGTGACGGGGGCGCGGGCCCGGAGTGGGGCCGGGGCCTCCAGGAGCGCGGAGGAGGGGCGGGGCGCAGCCGGGCCGCAGGTGACTGGGGAGCGGCCGAGGAGTCGTGGGGGCGCCGGGCGGGAGTACAGGACCCACTGGAGCCAGGAAGAAGTGCCTGGCGCACTGCGGACGCTTCTGAAACCCGGGTGGCCAAGGGGCTGAGGGTGTCCCAGAACGGGGAGTATAAGCGGGGCGCAGAGGGGTCGCAGGTGACTCCGGGGCGAGGCCGGGGGGTCGAGGGGAGCCTGGCTGGAGGACAGAGGCTGCCCAGGAGCGCGGAGGATGAGGGGCAGGGCATGGGAGTCGTGGAGGTGGCTTCGGTTCAGCGGGGCCCAGGTGACGCGGGGCCGGGTGAGGGGGCGCTGGGCTGGGGCTGCAGCTACTATGGGGTGTCTGGAATGCCGAGCTGTCGCCTGCAGGCCTGGAAATCTGCGAGGGTCCCTTGGAGACGAAGCCTCTGCTAGGCCCTGCTCCCGGCGGCAGAGTCCACCCACCACGCCCAAGAGAACCCAGGCGCACGTCGGCACTACTGTGCCCAAACCATGCCGGGTAAGACCGCGAACGCTTTCGGCCCAGCCTCCCTGTTCCTTCTGGGACCTGTGAGGTCGGTCTGCTCTGGGGAGAACCCCCCCCTTTGCCGACATAATCACCCCCAAGCCCCTGGCCTCCCCAACGCCTCCCCAGCCTATCCCTGCGTTTGCAGAGCCTGGCGCTGCCGGGTTGCAGATGGAGATGGGGTGAGTCTCACCCGCTGGGAGGGGTCCATATATAGCCTGATCATGGGGCCTCGAGATTCCTGAATTTCCCTTCTGTAAAAGGCAGCCCTAGGAGTTTAGATGCGCTACTTTCTTGGGCAGTTCTCACCCACTGGTAGACAGATAGGAAGTTCGTGCCCCTAAAACTTTAGGAACACAGTGCCTTTGGGGGTTCCCAAGTTCAGACCACCGGGCGTACTCCTTTATTCCAATAAAGACTGCAGTAATCCCCCGGCAGGGCAGTGGGCTTGGGGTGGCCACATGGCTGGGGTTTAGGGCAAGACCTGGCCCCCAGGGGTCAGACTCAGTCTTACACACCTGCCCTTCAGGGGGGTTTGTACACATCAGATGTGGGCAGTTCAGAGGGCTAAAAGAAATTAGACAGTGGGACTGTGGCCTTAACCCGTAAGAGAGATGCCTGTCCTGTTTTTATCATGAAGACACCCCATCTTGCACGAGACCAGACCTGATCATCCATGAGCACATTTTTTTTTTTTTAAACAACAGGTTACTTTGTATTTGGAGGAGCAATTTGGTAAAATCACAGAGGAGCTTCCATGCTGTTTTTCTCCTGCCTGGCCTCGGAAAGGAAAATGGTTCAGGCGGGGTTTCCTGTGGTTCCCGCTGCAGGACTCTGTCTCGGAGGAGAAGCAGAACGGTTTCTCTGTTCCAGGGGGCGGTGTGCAGCTCTCCACAGTAAAAACCACTCTGCCCCCAAAGCCGCTAGGGCCCATATAATGCCAGCATTCAATGAGCAACCTTCGGATGCATCTCCATCAGCCCGGGAATGTGCTCGAAGACCCGAAGTGGGTATTCGGCATGTTTTCGGGGAACAAAAACCACCTTTGAGTAAAAGAGGAGGGGCCAGGGAGGAAGCTAGCCACTGACTCTAATAGCAGTGTCCTTGGATGGTCGTGGACATTCCTTGATACAGCGAGACTTGGTCATCGGTAGCTTCTTAAAAGCAAGGCAGTGTGGCCTCTGAAGACCCGTTAATGAGTTTTCGTCCTTGTTATACCTTAAAGTCCACTGGTCTGCCTTTGCACCTCTGACGGGCTCTTGTCCGCGAGTGATCTTGCAACATGGTGCACGGGGCCCTGGTGGCCAGCCTTCAGACGTGTGCGTCTTTCTCGCAGAGCGTGGGTTTGCTTGTTGGGGTCGCTGGAGAGAGGGGGTTGCTCTCCGGGGGTGCTGTGGTGTCATCCTGTTGATAGGACCACGAATCCCTCCATCCTAAGCAAGGGCGGAGTCTACCCTCTCTCTAGACCCAGCACTGTCTCCATCCATCCCGCGAATCAGGAAGCTTCTGGACAAATAGCTTGTCCTCAGTGCGTCGCTTGGGGTCCCCAAAGCCCTCCCAGGTAAGGTGCTCCCCTCCACGGACCGTGGAGCAGCTCTGCTCCCAGGACCTCCCGGCTTCCCCCTGCCTCACCCGCGACTTGTTTCTCATGTGGAAGCAGCTGATGTGTTCCAACCAAGTAGGTCTGAAACATGAGACGGTTGGAAATCTAATTGTTCTTCTGGTGTCTGGTTTGATAAGTCTCCGGGGAAGGAGACCCATATTTATCAGCCATGCTGAGTCAAAACAGACCCCGCCAATTGGATAACAGTTTCCTTAGTGATCATTGAGAGGATAGAAGCAGTAGGAATAATCTAGTTGGATATTTTTCGTGTCTTTGTGTTAACTTCCATTTAGAAGGAATTTGAGGTTCTTTTTAGGAATACCCAACTAAGCTGTGTTGCGAATTTTCTTTTTCTTTGAGGAGGATCCAATTTAAATTGTTTACATGTGAAATGCATAGCCAGTTACAGTGATGGAAATGTAGCTTCGTAGAAAAAGAGAAGTTTCTCAGCCTGGAAAGGGCAGTTGCATATAAAATTAAACCTGAGAGGGTCAGCAGCTGATTGCTCTGCTTCTTTCCCCCAGGGTGGGTATGGGGGAAACACTCCGCCCTTGCTTAGGTTGGAGGGATTCGTGGTCCTATCAACAGGATGACCCCACAGCACGCCCGGAGATTACCCGGTCTACTTCCTAAGTTTAATGCCCCAGTTTATTAGGGTGCTAGACAAATCCCACCGATGGGCTGCCTTAAAGAACGTATATTTATTCCTCCCCGTCCTAGAGGCTGGGAGTCTGAGATCCAGGCGGAGCCGAGGCTGGTTCCTCCCGAGGTGTCTCTCCTGGGCGTGTAAACGCCGTGTTCTCCCGGTGTCCTCACGTGGCCATGCCTCTGTCTGTGTCTGTGCCCTCATCGTCTCTTCCTGTGAGGATCCCCGTCTTAGGGGATCAGGGCCCACCCCAATATTTTACCTGAATCCCGTCTTCCAAGACCCCATCTCCAAATATATCCGCATTCTGAGGTCCTGGGAGTGAGGACTTCCTGCGACGTTGGCCGGGGGGCAGGGGGGACATGTTTCAGCTCATAATACCCACTGGTTAAAGCAGTTACATTTATGTGCTTATAAAAATGCAGCAAAACCAGTGGATGCAGTTACCAACTTGGGTGACTTTGCTGTTTGTATTATATTCCATCCTGTACCTTCCCTCAGGCGAATGCAGCTGCACCTTCCTCTTGTCTGGACGACGATCCCGTCGCAGGGGGGTGTGACAGGAGCCTGTTGTAACAGGCACGTTTGGGAATTTACCCCCATGGAATGTAAAAGGTCAAGGAGGGGGGGCCCCCCCCCCCCCCCCCCCCGGGAACCAGGCCTCAGAAGCTTGTGTTCATCACGTTATATTTAGCGTGAATGCCAGTCCTTCGGGCCCTGCTTTGGGAGCCGCCGGCCCCGGGGAGGGGAGGGCGCTCTGCTCTTTGAGAAGTGAGGTCTGTGTGTTCTGGCCCCACGTTGCGTGCTGCGCATTTTAATTTCTGCAGACAGCACGGGAGCCTGCACAGGATTTTTCTTGAAACTGTTGTCTCTCTCCTGGCAACGAGCTCCTGGGGGAGCAGGAAGTAAGTTGGTTGGAAGTCCCCATAAAAGCGACCAGTGCTGCGAGGATGCACTTAGCCTGGAAATTGCCGTCCATTGGATCCCTTGTCGGCGTTTCTTCCCCACCTAGTGAGACACTGAAACTGGGCATGGTTCTGTTTTGTTTCGTTGTTTTGTTTTGTTTTGAGTTGGGCAGACATCTGCATCCTAGCTCAGGTAACTGGGCAGTTGCTTACATGTTTTGATGTGTTTGTTTCTCAGATTCAGGTATTTGAGGTGAGTTTTTTTAGACTCGAATGCAGAGCAGAACACGGCATTACGTGTAGGCTCCTTACGCTCTTGTCTGCGTGTGTTTGTGTGTGTTCAAAGGAAGAGATGTAGGGGGTGCCTGGGTGGCTCAGCACGTGACTCTTGATCTCGGAGTCATGAGTTCGAGCCTCGTGTTGGGCAGAGAGATTACAAAGAAAGAAAGAGAGAGAGAGAGAGGAAGGAAGGAAGGAAGGAAGGAAGGAAGGAAGGAAGGAAATGAAGTTCTTAGTGAACATTTGAAAACTATGGAGCAGTTGGTCGGTTCAGTTGGTGAAGCTTCAGAGAGAGGGGTGACCGCCAACCCCTCCACCTCCTGAGACCCACCAGGAACGTGACTCTGGTGTCTTTGTCCACACCCGCAGTATCTGACCAGGCGTTCGTGACGCTGGCCACCAACGACATCTACTGCCAGGGTGCGCTGGTTCTGGGACAGTCACTGAGGAACCAGCGTGCGACCAGGAAGCTGGTGGTGCTTATCACCCCACAGGTGTCCAGCCTGCTCAGGTAAGTCGGGAAGACGTTCCCGTGCCTGGCTGATTCCTGCGTCTTGTGCTTGCGGAGGTCCCGGGAACCGCCGGTGCATCTGGAGCTCCCGCTGACTCGGGGGGGGGGCATCTGACGGTGGTACGCTCGATTCGCTATTGAAGGAAGTGAGTCTCGGTAGAGGGAGTGAGAGGTTTAAGATTGGAGGTTGTAGCAAGTCACATGTGGTTCTGCAAAATCCTGCAACGTGCAGCATAGATTTTTACATCCTGGTGCGTCTCCATCCCCATGTAGGATGTTTCCCAGGGAAGATGGGTTAGGGGTACCTCCACGGGGCCGTGCCGTGCGCCTGGCTCTTCTGTTGTGGTGGTGAGTGCATGTCTAGGGGCAAAGGGTTACTCCGAGTTTCTCTCGATTGCTCTGGAAAACAAAGGCTGGATGCAGGGTGTTCACTAGGGCTTAGAGATGTAACAGGCAGGTGGGACGTGGGGGCCGGCCGAGCGTGGGATCGGTGACAGATGAGCGTCAAAGAGCAGGGCCGTCAGGCGGAGCAGATGCGTGGCTCCTGAGAGCTGGAACTCATGGGACACCTGATGGCCACGTGAGTGGTGCCACGTGGCTGGCTCCACTACGAGCTCCCTACACGAGCTCACTCGTGTGAATCACGTGATTCCTCTTGGGGTGGCTGCTGTTGGTGCCAGGCTTGCTGCCATCTACCAAGACTCCTCGGGCAGGCGTAGCAGAGCGGGGAATCTCAGCCTGCCCCACTCCATGCTCCAGGCCACCGTCTACTCCTCATGACGAGAGACTGTGAGCTGTCCAAAGGTCAGTGGTCCGCGGGGGTGGATTTGAGGGTCTGAGGGGGCAGAGGGGAGACCGTGGGGCAGAGGCAGCGCCAACTCAAGATAAGCAGTACTCCCTTTTTGTAGCCAGTGAGGTCACACTCAGCAGACACAGGGTCCATAGAGGGAAGCATGGCATAGGCAGGGACAAGGAAGTGGGGGCAGGTTGCTGCCACGATGGGTCCATGATATGTCTCCTGGAAAGAGCCGGGTGCCCCTGCAGTGATCTGAATGCACGTGACTCCCAGAGTCCGGGAGCTGCGTGCTCTTGGCTTAAGATTGCCATGCCCGGCTCGAGAGGGGAGATGAAGGATGCCTGCAGGTCCACATGCGCGCCCTCGCAAATGCAGACGCCGGAGCCCCTTGGCGCCTTGGTTCTGTAGCGCGGGTTGTGCATTCCAGCCTGAGCGTGGGGACGTTCCCATCTGTAGACACACACGCGGTGCTATCTCCACAATAGCACGAGTGGTGCTAGTTCACTTGGGAGACCATTTCTTCCCTCTGGGTGTTCCCAGGTGACTGATGTCAGCTCGGTGTAGCCGTGTGCGTGGAGACTTCTCTTGAAGGTGGCTGCTGTAAGAACAGAGTTTCGTGAATCTGTGGCTTCTGGAGGCATGGTCCGGATGCCTGCGATATGGAGGGGTTTGCAGGATGCCATGGCAAATGCAAAGAATGGCAGAAGAGTTTTGTGATAGACACGTAGGCATGAGGGTCTTCCAGTTTCTTCTTGGCTGTGGGTGGCGTGCACAGGGCCATTGTGTTCATGTGTGGGGTGAGCCTGGAAGGGTAGTGGGAGGTTCGAGGAGGCCTTCCTGGAGGCAGGGGTTGGCAGAAGAGAGTCAGGCTCTGGGTGAGCAGCGTTGGAGGACATGGGGAGGCCCAGAGTTTGCAGAAACCTGGAAAAGTGTGCATGGGCTTATCTCTGGTACGCTGATGGCCACTGCAGTAAGGGGTTGTCCCAGTTAGCAGAGGGCACCAGTAAAGGGAGCTGTGGGAGCTGGGGTGGCCCCTGGAATTCAGTCCGGCTGTAGTAGGCACAGAGACTTCGTTGCTCGGTGCAAGGACGTGGCTCCCAGAGGGATTTCCCACCCTCTCCTTCACTACCTCATTAAAGGAGTGGTGTCAGGTTCGCTCAGCCAGCTCTCGGGGCTGAGATCTGAAAGGCCGGTTCTGATCCAGACTAGGTAGTCTGAAGGAACGAGGAGAGCCCACCCACTCCTTGACGAAGCATCAGGTGGGAAAGCCCACTTTTTAAGTTAAGGTGAAGACACACGGAAGAATTTAAATCGGCACCAAGCCTGCAAGACATCTCCCCAAGTGAAGGTGGGGACGTCATACTCAAGTTCAGGGGAGAGACCGTATTCGTGAAACAAGTTACTACGGGATGGATGGAAGGACTTTAGAAAAGATCCGAGGAGTGCTTTTAATAAAATTCGTGGAAGTAGAGATTTGTTGATACAAATAGAGCTGCTAGGACAGGTGGAGTTGAAAGGGGTCTGGCTGTGAGCTGAGGAAATGTTAGCAGTTAATAATAACAATTATGAAAAATTAAACTTTTTAGAGACCCCATTCCGTGCAATCCGCCCTGCAGACTGTGAGAGTCATTGTTATATGGAAAATGTCAGGTGCTTCCGGGTACCTGAGCATAAGTTTATAGAGTAGGAAGCTTTAAAACAGAGGTGGGCCTGCTCCAAAGCTGAGAGCAAATGAAACCAGCTTGGAAACAAGATTGTATTTGAAGAAAATTTCCCAAAGTGAAGAAACACCAGGAAATTGTGGGTATCACCAAACGTGAGAAAAGCAAATAAAGCCCCCAAACGGAGATGTCTACGTATTGATGACTTTTTAAAGTTGCAGTGATGATTTCTGGGTTTGTCCAAGAAGCCATTTGGCCAAATTTATCGGTCATTGACAACATGGTCGGAAGTGATTCTCAAGCACACAGGTGGTTCGGGGCTTTGCTACTAAAAAGAGAAAAAAAAAATTATCTGCTGGCTGAAAGTGATATCAAAAAGCACAACTTAATGAGAAAGCCCTTTCTGGAAGGATAAGGAGGCGAGTAAAAACCTAGTATTGAGGGTAAATAACCATTGTAAATACATTTATGAAACTATGCACATTGAAAAGGGACCCATGTTATCTGATATATATTTTTGATATATTTATATATATAATTTACATATGTTTATATTTACATACAAAATATGTATATTATTTATATGTATATTATATATATAATTTATATATTTTTTAAACTTCCAGTTAGCTAACATACAGCATAATATTAGTTTCAGGTACACAATATAGTGATTCAACACTTCCATGCGTCACTTGGTGCTCATCACAACAAATGCCCCCCCTTCATCCCCATCACCTACTTAACCCATCCCCCACTCACCTCCTCTATCTGATATATTTATTTAATAAACGATGGACAGAGTTCTTGGATCACATGTAGAAGAAAGGAAAAGCAGAAACAATCATATGGTTTTCTGAGTATAAGAATCTGGGCAAGGGACACTACGTAATAAAGCGGAGAATTCACATTTCAGATACACTGCTCAAGATCCTTTATGTGCCAACAATCACCATATGAAGCATATTAAAAAACCCAACCTGATACACAGGCACATGCAAAGAAGGGTAGAGGGAGAGTCTTTTTGTGTAGTTTTCCTCGTGTTTAACTCACAAATAAGACACGTGAGTAAATTGATCTAATGAATAGAGCATGAGGGATCTCTTAAATGTTATGCATTATGTAAACAGTGATCTTTAGTCTCATCAGCCATAGACCACTTAGAAAAATTGATTTTGTACTCATGGTACAAGGAGGCATTTAATGTGACACTTGGAGCAGAAATTGAATGTTATAGTCTTTGACTATAATGTAATAAAAGTAGGCATTAATAGCAAAACGAATTTAAAAACCACATTACCCTTGGACATTTTAAATTAGAAATTCCTAAACATTTCATAAGCGAAGAAATCGAAGACTGAATTCTATGGTGCTTAAAAAAATATTAGCAATATGAATACTACCTATACAAGCCAAACGGGAAGGCTGAAGTCATGCCAGAGAAAAACATTAAAATCAGTGAAGAAATAAATGATCAAGTTCAAAAAAAGTTTATATTAAAACAAACAAAAAATACAGAAGGCAAACAATACAAAAGTTAAAATCAGTGAAGAAATGATCCATTTGGAAAAAAATTAAGAAAAAACAAACAAAAAATACATAAGGCAAGAAGGAAGAGATCCATAAAAAACTAAAAACTGGGAACAGGAAAAAAATCCAAGTGTTGGATTATTTAAAAGTAAATTAAGATGGCAGAAAACGTAAGTATCCAAAGTAAAAGTGAAAAAGTAGTCATTTGCATGCAACTTCAATTTTAAAAGCAAACAGGACACAGAGCACTTTGCTGGTAATATTGACGAAATACTTGATCCTTGTAGGGAAATTCAGATGACCCCACACTGATACTAGAAAGCGTAGAAAACACCGCTCAGTACTCCGGGGTGGAAAATAGAGAATGTTACCAAAAGCTTATCTGGTAGAAGGTTCTGAGCCTGGGCAGTTATAAAGGACGTTTTGTTACGTTGCTCACAATGAATGAATTTCCATGTGATAGGAGTGATCTCAGAGACAAGGGAAAAAAAATGAATGTCTTCATTTATTTTAAGAAACTGTCCCAATCTTGATACCCAAACTTGATTTACGGGTTTGGTTGTGTTTTACATATAGATGAGAAAAGCCGCCAAATACACAACAGCAGCCAGACCGCTCGAGGTGTATCGTAGAGAAATGAACGGTACCCTAAGGAAGACAGTTCACGGCCTCCATGTAATTCAGCCCATCCATCTATCAGAGAAAGGCAATGATACGGTCCTTTGACTATAAAGCTAAATGTGTACCAAGATGAATCCGGGTAGATTATGAGTGTAAAGGTAAAATTTTTAAAGCATAGAGACATCTTAGAAGTCAATAGATCAGGATGTCTCAGCCTGGGCACTGTTAACATCTGGGGCTGGATGATTCCCTGAGTTGGAGTGTCCCTGGTCTCCACCCACCATCTGCTGGTAGGATCACCACCCACGACCCTCCCCGAAGTCGGGGTAAGGAAAAATGTCTTCAAACACTGACATGGATGGACGTTTCATTCGTCCGAATGTGGGGGAAACCATCTTAAATGAAAGCAAAGGAGGATACCAGGACCTGTATAGGCCAGAAATACTATGTGTAAAAGTAAAAGATCAAACAAATAAACTAAGGAACGCATTTACAAAAGCTTTAATGGGGAGGAGGCTTGTTGTCTATATAATATTCCAAAAAAGTCTTACAACCAGACTTCACAAGTGGACAGATGAATCTCACAATGGTGGAGGGTATGAACCATTATTACATCGATGGGGGATATTTATGACCAGCTAGGTTGGCAGACTGTCTTTGTAAATGTTGGTGTTTTGGGGGGGGCAGACCTTCATCTCTGATATCAAATGACATCATTAGACTAGAGGCAAATCGGCTGTAACCCATTTTCTCAAAAGTGTTTCAACTTAGTGTGTACAGCGTATTTCCTCTTTTGCCAAAGTTGAGCTCTTCGTCCCCGGAGAGAAACACATTCCCCTATGTCCAGACCCCTGCTCTTCAGAGTCAGACCAGAGGCTCCAGCAGCCGCAGAGCTGGGAATGCCGACCCTGAGGTAGACACATGTCCCTGTGTGTGTCGTTTGGGACCAAGACAGGAAACATGGGGTCTTTCTTGGTTGCCAACTGGCCCATCAGTCCCCCTAGTGATGGGGGGCAGCCATATTTTTTCATAGAACTGTCCTGATAAAGCCAAAAGGACCCCACAAGAACACACCATTCTGTCCTCCATTCCTGTCTCCTCAGGGTCAGTAAAAGCTGTCAACACTGACTCTCTTCAGTCTCCTGGTCCACTCAAGATGAACTGTAAAATATTCAGACACATCCAGGAATCCTGGGAAGGTTCGGTATTCCAGAACCATGTAGCTTTTATAGGACCCGTTACGTACTTTGCAGTCAGTGGGAGAGCTGAGGAACGGTGCCCTGTGGTCCACTGACAAACAGTGACAGGTGACCAAAAGTGACCGAGGGTGTGGGTATGAGGACCACCACTCTGCTCTTCCAGGCTGTGTGGTCCAAGTGCCGAGTGGGGTAATCATTCTGCAGAAAGCTTCAAATTGTAGTCTTGAAACTTCATTCCAAGCCCAGGCACTTATTTTGAGAAAACAGGCAGAGCTGAACAAAGGGATTTAAGGACATACATCACAGTCTATTTGTAGCAACATGGAGTGATATTTCTTTTGCCCTCTGCCCCGCTGCTCCCGGATCTTTATACAACCCTAAGGATGCCATGAATTCCATAAATAACTGGGTTTAAAGCAAGGGAAACTTGGTGATGAGAGAGTACACTCTCAGAGATGTAGGTACTTTCAATACCGTTCGATGAAAAAGCACCAAAAAATGTAAGGTACAAGCCGGTACAGGATATAACAGATAGACTCTGGAAGCATAAACATCTCCCTCATACTGGAAGTTTCAAAAGGAGCAAAAGAGAGAACGGATTGTAGGAAATAACTCCTCTCCTATTTCAGCTCTGAGAATGCCCCGTTGAGTGTTGGGCAGAATGAACGAACGCAAATGTCGATACCGAGGGGTGGCATCCCAGAGCATCAAGAACAGAGAAAGGTGCTAAAAGCATTTCAGCATCAGTCAGGTTGAGATAGCTGATGTCTAAAATTTTCTGGAGCAAAGCAATTTCATGTGTGTGTCTACAAAAGTATAGTTGATGTCGAGTATTACGTTAGTTTCGAGTGTACAGCACGGGGATTCGACATTCTGTGCATTACAGAATGCTCACCGCCATAAGTATGGTCACTGTAGAAAATTATGACAATATTATTGACTACATTCCCCATACTGTACTCTTCATTTTTGTGACATATTTACTCTATAATGGGAAGTTTGTACCTCTTAATCCCCGTCACCTGTTTCACCCCTCCCCCCACCATCCTGCCATGGTGGGGCAAAAGTAATTTTGGAATGAGATTTCTGTATTCAACCAAATCAGTGCAATTCGAAAGCAAATGAAAGATATTCCAAATACATAAAAGCTTGAAAATTTTACCCCTCAAAGATGTTTGAGAACAAAATTACTTGAGGATATACTCAAGCAAAGTGAAATGCGAATCCAAGGAAGAAAAACTTGCAATAAAGAAGTAGCACTAAGCAAATAAATGAGTGAAGCTCAAAGTTAATTGTAAATGTGTTGAGGCATAATTATGAAAATAATCTCGGATTTACACTCCACACAGAGGTGAATGAGGGGGGCAGAGGGGAGGGGCAGAAGTGAACATAGGCTGATATTCCTGTCTTGTCCAGGGTGAAGATACAGATGCTGACCGTTTTTACATTCAGTAGAAAATCTAAGTTTAAATATGTGTGTCGAAGGTTGAGGATGGTAACTATCAGAAGACTAGAAAGGATATGTACAACTTCCCAAGCATTAATGGAAAATGCATGGAATGGGGAAAAAAAAAATCTAACCCATGCAGTGGAAGGTGGGAAAGGATTACAAAGAAGAAGAAAGTCTGATACATGTTAAAAAAAAAAAAAAAGGAAAAAATAATACTGCAGGACTCCACTCGAATATATCAATGATCATACTAAAGGTGAATGGGTTAGGGCGCCTGGGTGGCTCAGTTGGTTGAGCGACTGCCTTCGGCTCAGGTCATGATCCTGGAGTCCCGGGATCGAGTCCCGCGTCGGGCTCCCTGCTCGGCGGGGAGCCTGCTTCTCCCTCTGACGCTCCCCCCCATGCTCTCTCTCTCTCTCTCTCATTCTCTCTCTCAAATAAATAAATAAATAAAATCTTTAAAAGTGAATGGGTTAAAAAAACCATTTAAAGGAGAGAGAATTTTGTCATGGGAAAATAAACGTAAAATCCAGCCATATCCTGGATGTGTACAGGAGGCACTTTCAATAGCAACACAAAATGTTGAAAATAAAGGATGCCTTTGATGTAATGATTCTGTTCCCATCCGGGATCCCACGTTGCGTTAGAGAGGTCTGCCCTTGTAACTTCCCATCTATGACATTTTCTCCTTCTTTTCTCATGTGTCATGATCTTGACATTTTCGGGGAGTACTGGTCATTTGTTTTATAGAATTCTTTGGGCTTGCATTTGTCCAATATTTTCTCATTAGTAGACTGAGGTTATGTATTTCTGGCAAAAAAAAAAAAAAGTCCTCAGGAGTGATGTACCTTTACCAGGGCGCCCTATCAGGGAGCATGTGATGTTGCTGTGACCTGTTACTGGTGATATTAAACCTTGATCATATGGATAAGGTATTATCTGTGGGGTTATGATTTTTGTCTTTGTAATTGATAGGTCTCCTGGAGGAGATACTTTCAGCCTATGAAAACATGCTATTTCTTCTCAAAACATTTACGCATTGATTTTAGCCTCCACCGGTGAACCTTGTCAGCAATAATTATTACTGTCATGTTAGCCTAATGGTGATTTTCTATTTCCCTCCTTCCTAATGCATTTAGTACTTGGAATTCTTCTCTAAGGAATTGCTGCTCCTTCTTCCCCATTTACTTATTTATTCAATTATGATATTAGTCTGGACCCATGAATATTCATTTTATACTTTAAGTTTGTTACTTGTTTTCTTGTTCAGATCCTGATTGGCTCCCTGTATCCTTTGGACATGCCCCCATCTTTCTTCTGGCTCTTCCTTAATTTTTTGTCATCCCGAGATATTCCAACCTCTGATGAAGTAGAATTTAATCAAAAAAATTTAATGGAATAGAGGAAAATATCATTTTGACAAAAAGTACCGTCTTCCAAAATTTGAGTCTTGAACTTGTATGCCCTTAACAATGGAGGTTTTAAATACGTAAGATAAAAACGAATAGAGGTTGTAGGGGACATCTGTCAATTTGTACCTCCTCGGCATTCATTCCCATGGCCCATGCATTTTTCAAAGAGAAGTACCTCCTTATGGGCTGACTGGACTCAGTCCACCTAAGACAATTGTGTACCGTTGTTAAGATTTTCAAGTTTGCATAAGGTTTAAGCATGAATGTGGAAAGTATGCAAAGCTCCATATGGGAAAAATAAAACCTGAACATGAAGATTGATGGGGTTTTGGATCCATGCTTCATGTGTGTGAGTCACAAAGGGGTGTCATCTTGAAGGGGTAGCATGTCCCGTGTTGAATGTCTCCTTGCTCTCCTGGTGCCTGGCATGTGTCTTTTCCAGGGTTATCCTCACGAAGGTGTTTGATGAGGTAATTGAGGTGAACCTGATCGACAGTGCAGACTACATCCACCTGGCCTTTCTGAAGAGGCCTGAGCTTGGGGTCACCCTCACCAAGCTTCACTGTTGGACCCTCACCCATTATAGCAAGTGTGTCTTCCTCGATGCAGATACTCTGGTGAGTACCGGGGGAAAGTGAGGACCAGACACTCCACTTGATAAGGAACCCCTCAGAGACAATGCCTTTCCCTTTTTAGGGAGGCTGCTAGTTCTTACAGGTGGATTCCCAGCAAATAACATGCATCTCTATCACCAGCATTGACATTCATCAAAATCAGGTATGACACAGCACTAGCACTGCTCTAGCCCTGCCCAGGACACTACAGGACTTGAAGGCATGCTCCTTCCCTAGGAGGGCTTCATATTCACATAATTTCATCTACACAAAATAGAATAATTAGAAAAAATATTTTGCCTGGATTGCATCTTGAATTGCATAGTTCGGACTGGACTGGTGCACCTGGCTTCTTAGGCTGTGGCATCCTCCGCTTGTCGTTTGGGGTAGTGACCTGCAGTGTACGAGCCTATGATGGCTACTTTCAAAAACAGCCATTGGGAAGTTGAAATGTAAAACGAAGCTGGGGTGTTGGCGTCCATTCTAGTTTGTCTCGGTTGTGCAAAAGCAGCTCTACAGGAAGATGAACAGGTGCAGAGGAAAATAAGACTGATAACACAGTCAGAGTCATGTTTCCTTTTTCTTTTTTTTTTTTTTTCAAACACAGCACAATTTAGAAAGGCAGTGGGTGCCGGAGGGGTCTGTAATCAGTAGTCAAGTTCTGGAAAGCAACTGATGACATTGGAGTGACTTGCAAAGCTCTCCTTTCATGTGTTTTCAGAGTTTTGTTGGTCACATTTGGTAGATTAAAGAGCATACACAGTCAGGCGACTTCCAGAGAGGATTTTAAGAACCTTTAGAAAATAATTTAGTTTCAGAAGTGGTGTGATGTCAATCACTTGAAACAAACTGGAGAGCAATCTTACACACTTTTCTCTTTTGGATGTAAGCCGAATAGAAGAGTCAGTCCAAAAAATGGGGCCCCTGGGTGGCCCAGTCTGTTAAGCGTCTGCCTTCGGCTCAGGTCATGATCTCAGGGTCCTGGGTTCAAGCCCCACATCAGGCTCCTTGTTCAGTGGGGCGCCTGCTTCTCCCTCTCGCGCTCTTCCTGCTTGTGCTCTCTCTGTGTCAAATAAATACATAAAATCTTTAAAAAAAAAAAAAAAGAAAAAGAGAAAAATGGGCACAGGTTTGCAAACACTAGACTTTGTCTGACCATCCTGACGTTTCTGCTGCATTTGTCACCTGCCTCCCGGAGGCAAGAGCAGTCTTGCTACAGGTTCTCCATGCTCTGCTTTGCCAGGTGCTATCCAATATCGATGAGCTGTTTGATAGGACAGAGTTTTCTGCAGCCCCCGATCCCGGATGGCCGGACTGCTTCAACAGTGGCGTGTTCGTCTTCCAGCCGTCGCTGGAGACCCATGGCCTCCTGCTGCAGCATGCCACCGACCACGGCAGCTTTGATGGTGAGTGATGGGAGGCTGGAAATGGATGGAAGGGCATGGGGCTGTTTCCGGGACCATACCCCTGCTCAGATAATGTGAATGACGTGAGTCAGTTAAAGACGTGGTGGAAGGCCACGGCCAGACAGCGTGATAGGAATAAGTGAAGTTAGTAAGTAAACATGCAGCAGAGAAAACCACTGAAGAAAATGTCCTCAGTGAGTAGGAAGAACGGTTCCCCAATCCTGATCATGCAGAAATGGGTAGGCAAACCTTTCTCTAAAAACCAGATAATAGATTTTCTTTCAGCGTCATCGGTCATATGATCTCTGCCGCAGATATTTAACCCTGCAGGTGTAGAGTGAAAGCAGCCATTGATAAGACTGGCATGAGCATGGCTGTGCTCCAATAAAACCTTATTTACAAAAATGGATGCGAGCCTCAGTCAGCCAGCCCCTGATAGAAAATAAAGGGAACAACTCAAGTGAGCAAGAGAAGCTGATGTTTCACTTGAATGGGCATCAATAGATGGGGAAGATGCTAGGATTGTTGTCATATGAAAGAAAGTAGTAGACTGATGAAGAATCATCTCTGGCTACGGACAAGGAGTTGCCCACAAAGCACTGTGGCTAATGGATGGAATCCATTGCGGGAGCAGTGGAGAATGTTGGAGGCAAGACGAGGGGTTATTATCAGTGGTTTGGGTTATGGGTGGAGAGTTTTGGAGAAAATATGCACTGTTAAAATTCATGGTATGGATGATCAGTCCTTCTTGAGACAAACGGTCCTATGGTAGTGGGCAGAGAAAAGAAAGACCATGGGACCCCGCGTGCAAGCGTGTATGTTAAGCCCTTCAAACACATGTTGAATTCTGCGAAGCGCTGTACCACCTGTGACTAACCTCCTTGGGTGTGGGTTCGCCATTTAGGGGCAGATCAAGGCTTATTGAACAGCTTCTTCAGCAGCTGGTCAACGGCAGATATCCACAAGCACTTACCGTTCATCTATAACTTGAGCAGTAACAACGCATACACCTACAGCCCTGCTTTCAAACGGTAACTTCTCCACTTTCCAGATCCTTCTGCGCCTGCTGCCTTCCAGCAGCCCTGTCTCTAGAATCTTTATCAGTTTTCGGCATTTGGGGAGAAAAAAGCTAGATCATCCCTCTGTCTGCCTACTGCTCTAAATTATAGGTAGTCAAAGCAGCAAGTCTTAATGACAGTGGTTCCCAAAGGGTGGTCTAAGGAACCCCTGAGGGATTTCCCCCACAGTTCTTTTGAATGTCTGCAGTCAAAACGACTTAAAAAATAATACTTCTAAGATGTTACTTTTTCTTCTCATTTGTTTTTTATAAGTGTACGAGGTGGATTTTACAGAAACTGCCTGACATGATTAAACAATACACTAAAAAAACAAAACAGTGCACTGAACGGAGACACAGATATAAGAAAGCAGCTGTCTCCTCTTGAAATGGTCAAAGTCATTCTTTTGACAGTTGTATTTTGAAAATACAGTTATTTTTCATGAAAAAGTATGAAATGAACATCCACGTCTCGTGGGTCGATTGATTTCTAACGAATTGATCAAATCCGTTTTCAGATTTCTTAGTTTTGTTGTCTGTTGAGTTAATATAGACAGACGGAATCCACGTGGACAAAGCTAAACTCTTGGTCCTCCATGCGTTTTAAGAATGTCAAGAAGTCCTAGGACCAAAATGTTTGAGATTCGCTGCTGCGGGTGATGTTGTTATAAACAAAAGTGGAAAATCGGAGCAGAATCTAGGGAAAGAATAATTCTAGGGCACGCATTTTTAACAGGGAACGTATTGCTTCTAAGGAGCAGAAGTGGGTCCTCAGGGAGTGAAAACATTCTATTCTTTTTAACGAATAAAGCAGAGATGTACATACAGAACATGGATATATGACACAAATGTAGTGTTAAAATTTCATGGGAAGATGATTATGGGCGAAAATGTTTAAAAAGGTCGAGAGGAGAAAATTCACAATCTTGTAAAGAGAAGCCAATTTTCTTGTTTTCAGCTTGCATTGTCTACTATCTATAAGTGATTTTTTTCTTTTTCTTTTTTTTTTTTGGTCCCTGTTGTTTTAAGGAGATGATGTTTTGGGCTACCTACCATACTGTTCATCTTTAGAAGACTCTTGATTTATTCTTCTGGTTTGAGGGAATTCCCCACTGGGCTATGATTATGTTCCTTGGTAGATAGAAAACAAAATACTCCCAATGTTGATTGTTTAAAAACATATATCTTTAAGGAAAATAACAGCAGGTCCACATAGTAGGGTTGAGACAAGTGTTCATGTGCTGCTGTCTTTGACGCGCCTTGTGGTTGTGGGGGAATTTCCCTGCGTGTGAGATCACTTCCAAGTGGAAAGTAGAATGCTTTGTGTTTCTTCCTCAGATTCGGTTCAAGTGTGAAGGTAGTCCACTTTTTGGGGCCCACAAAGCCATGGAACTACAAATACAACCCCCAGATGGGCTCGGTGTTGGAGGAGGGCTCCGGGTTGGCCAACCAGCACCAGACGTCCTTCCTTAACCTCTGGTGGAAAATCTACCAGCACAGCATCCTGCCTCTTTACGGAAGCTTCCGGGATGAGGAAGAACACGCATCTCCAGGACACTCCGTAAGTGGGTGACACCCTCTAAAAGCAGGAGTTGAGGATGGGCATATACTTGGCATGATCGAATCGATACCCAGTGTACTTTCTCAAAATGCTCCCTTCTGTTTCTATGTGTTGTATTTCATAAAGGATGCTGAAGATACAGATACCCTGGGTTGTTTTCTTCTGGCTCAAAATCATGAATGTTTAATGAGCCAAAATGTGGCTGTGATTTAGAGGGTTGATGCATAAATAGATTATTTCAGTTAGCCGCCTTCATCAGGGAAAGAGCCACTCATAGCTAAGTGGCTGCAGATGATTGATTACCATGTTGTTCAAGGAGACACTTGCCAATTTACATCATCAATTCAAGTAGCTGTTGGAGGACGTTGCTGAAGAGGATTTTTGAAACTCTTGATTGATACCAATTTGATTTTTTTTTAAATGTAATGGTAACCCTTCATGCTCTAAATAGTCACGTTTGTATAGCTAGTTTACTATGGATACACCTGCCGTACAAAAGACCTCTTGAAATTCGGTTCCAGGAAACTTTATTACCTGATCATTGTTTACCAGGACATGTATTAGTACCCTACAGTTAATCACCAGCCATTGCATTGACGGGAAATGGAAGAGAATCCGTACTTTAGTCTTGGCCATGGTTTTTGTTAGGTGGAACTAGGTGCTTCTCTTTGGAAGGACTCAGTTTCTCCCATCATTTCACACGAGGGAATAGGAGTTTATCTGTGTTTGTGTTGCCACTTGTTTTCTGCTGGGCAGTTTGCTAGACATCTGGTTGTATGGGTTGGAAATTAAGATGTGGAGTCAGGCCGTTCTGGGAAATAAGGCATTGAGAGCGGTCTGGGAGATGTGTGCCGTGTGGTTTTTCTCGCCAGAACGAAGGCAGCTTCCTAGAGGACCACCCATCACGTGTTCTATCAGAGCTTACCTTATGAGTTGTCACGTTTCCAGGATCCCTTCGGCCCTGGAGGCTGTCTCTGTTGGCCCAGGGGTGTGGGAGTGCTTGCTTTTGTTTCCAGAGCATCAGGCCCTGTGCATGGCCAGCTCAGAACATGGATAGGTTGTTTATAGGTTCCTGGGGCCCGGTTTCCTAAGTCTGTGTGCATTCCTTGGGCAAGCTTCTGTTTATTGAGTACAGATGATAGGGTCGGGGAGCGTGGGCCACACAGAGGACGGGATGGGCCCTGGGGTCCCCAGGGTAGCCTGGAGGGTTAAAAAAGATGTAAGGAGGACTTACCAAGTGCATCCATCTTTGTTCAGGCTGGCATCGGGGAGCCATGTGCAAAGCCAGCGGTGGGGTCCAGCCACCCTTGGCCTGCTGAGGGCCCTTCAGAGCAGACCATGGTCACAGACGACACCCCACCCTCACCCGAGGGATGCCATTCAGAAGATGTAAGTACCCACCCTCCACACAGGTGTGCCTGGAGAATCAGAGAATCGGATGCTGGCTCCCCAAGGAGACAGAGCTGAGAGCCTGCTCCCGGAGTTCCCACGGCTTCCAGGGAGGGAGAGGGCATGGCCCCGTCTGCAGTCTGCTCTAGCTTCGAGGAGCTCCTGTGTTCATGTAGATCATTGCACTGTGACCCGTGGGGTACATTGAATAATGCTCCCCCACCAACATGTATGTGCACATCCTAATCCTGGGAACTCGAACATGCTACCTTATCTGGAAACAGGGTCTTAGCAGGTGTGGTCAGGTTGAGGACCACCAGAGAATGATTCTGGGTTTTCCAGGTGGGCCCTGTGTTGTCACACGGGTCCTCATATGGGGGAGGCAGAAGGAGATTTGCTGACAGAATGTGACATAGAAGAAGCAGAGGCCAGACAGAGACGGGGAGATGCTAGTTCTGCTGGTGTTGAGGGAACACGGCCACAAACCAGGGCTGCAGGAGCTTCAGGGAGCGGGAAGAGGCCAGGAGATGGACTGTCTGCAGGAGCTGCCAGAAGGAACTCACCCTTGCCCGCACCTTGACTTCAGCCCAGTGACACCCACGTTGGACTTCTGACCTCCAGAACTGCCAGGTGCTCAGTCTGCATTGTTTTAAGCCACCCAAACGGGCAACAAATGTGGGCACTGGTCACGGCAGCCACAGGAAGATAATACACACCCTGAGAACAGGTGTTGGGTCTCATTCTGATATTGCAAGGTCCCCAAACTTTAATGTTTCAAAGGCGTTGCTTGCCTCTCCCTTGAACCCAGCTGCCAGACCACGTGGTTCTACGTCCGGAGACCTTTTGCCACACCCCTGATGCGAATACGACTTGGAGACTAATGTTGACCCATGTGCTCGTTTCTGCTGCGGCTGGGTCTGCTGAATTCCTGTCGTCAGAGAAGAAAAACAACACCGCATGTTATTTGCAGAAGGGGGAACAGCAAATGAGGCCATTGTTTCTCCAGCCCCAATTTCTGAGTGAATACATTGGAATAATGCCCAGTGTTTAAAGATTTCTGAATTTGGGAATCCTCGCGTTGAAAAGCATTTTTATTACCTTCATTTCTCATTTATTAACCTTCATTTCTCAGATTATTACGAGTTTGTAGCTGGGGATGGATCTGGGGTATGGGGTCAAGGGACATCATATTTTTCCATGTGCTTCAAACAGGTTTGGGAGAACTGTGTCTTGATTGGGAAGAGTCGATGTTTAAATTTTAGCAAACGTGTCTGTGGATGGCACTCTATTCTTTATTATAATACGGAACAAATTACATTGTCAAAGTTGTTAATAGCCTTTGAGTTTGGATTCACGTCAACCCAAACAAATTGAGAAGACCCGCAGCTTCGTACGGTAAAGACAGACATAGTAGAAAGGGAGCGTTTCCTGGTTTTTCATTCCTCCTGATGGTACACTGAGCCCCCCCCCAGTCTGGATGTGGCCCCAGGAAATGCCACATGTGAGTTCAATAAAGGCGTCTGCTTGTTGCAGGAACATGAAGAATCGGTCACTTAAGCTCTCACAGTGAGTGTACAAACTGTTCCCTGTTATGTCACCAGGAGCCACGCCTGTAACGGGACCTGTAAGAAAGTTCAACGTTCTCACAAAATGTTTAGCAAACACATGGACTCGATTAAGTATTGCTCAGAAAACCCTTTTTGCACCTTGATGGTTGATTTTATCTGTCAACTTGACTGGGCTAAGGGATGCCCAGATAGCTGGTAAAACATTTGCTTCATTAATTTTGATTTCCTTGATTGCTGTGGGTCTTCTTGGTGTTTACTTCATACCTTAGTTTTGGCTTCACAATTGTCGGTGAAGCTCTGATAATAGACAACAAATATCTGTCTTTGTGTCTGTGTGTTTACAAGCGGCATTTCAATCCAAGCCGGCAGAGCCAGGCCCAGAGGAGCTCTTCCTGCAAAAGGGACCGGGCTTCTGGGCAAAGCCTATGGAAAGAATCTGCATCTCAGGATGGTGTTCCCTCGATGCCTGCTGAGCTGGACAGTGGCAACCAAAGGACACAAGTCCACCACCAGCAGCGCAGACGGGGACAGCTGGCCCCATCCGTGGCAGAAGATGGTGGTGTCACTTGGGCAAGTTTGCTGTGGCCCCAAACCCTACCCCGTCCTTAAGGGGTAATATCGGGGAGAGAAAGATTGTGGGAAAAGATCCCAAGAGTTGGAGAAAAGTGGGTTCAGAACAAGTCCTCATACAAGAGGAGGGATGTCACTGAATGTGAGAGCCCTTCTTGTGTCCGTACGGGCATCGGGGTCTATAGATGGGACCTGGGGCTACCATCTTGCTGCACTCAATGGAGTCTGAGCCCAAGGCCAGGGGTCGGCAGAGGGGAGATGACTCCCCAGGTGGGATGGGTGTGCCCGGCTCAGGATATTTTAACTAGTCCTCACAAGTAACTGTGGAACTCCAGTCTCTCGTCTTGGCGGCTCTAATGGACTGGCCCTGCTCCAGCTCACCTACACACCCCCGCACCCCAGGCCTTGAACACATCTCCAAACAGCAGGTTCCTGCAGTGAATGACCTGTATTTGCAGATTGCAAAGGAAGCAGCCAGAGGAAAGAATACAGAATGATCCACCCGGATGTATAACTTTGATTTGTATTAAAGTGCTCAGAGGAAGAAGGGATCCTCCAGGCATGAAGAGGCAACAAGGGAAGGCATCCTTGTCTATTGAAATGTGTAATTCTGACCAGAGGGGTGTCGTCTCTGAGGATCCGAGGGAAAGAGTGGGGGACTCAGGCATGTGAGACCCCGCCGAGCTCACTCCTGTGTGTCTTGGACACTCAGAGGAGAAGGGGCTCCGGGCAGAGTACTGTGAGCACTCCTTACGTGCATCATATTGCCCGGGGAGGAGGAGATGGATCCAGACAAGAGCTCAGGAACGGGCAGCTGTTGGAGAAAGGGCTGGAAGTGGAAAGGAAGCCACTTTGATAAGTAAATACAGACTCAACCCTAAAACAGCTGCGGGAGGTACGTTGGTAGCCTACAGCACATTGAACACTTCGCTGGAATAAAAGGAATATAAACAAGGAGGAGCGTTTCAGGGTGTCTGCTTCATTCTTCAGTCCCCTCTCCCCGCCCCTTTCCATCCTACCACCTGTGAATAATCCGTTGCCGAGATGGACTTTTGAAGAAATCTCCGTGGCTTGACTAATTAACCATGAGCATGTGTCTCTCAAAGCCATGAATTCTTCATAATTTTAAAAGGAAGGGATGCATCACTAAATTCTACTCCTGAAGCCAATATTACACTATATGTTAACGAACTAGAATTTAAATAAAAACTTGAAACAAAAACAAAAACAAGGAAGGGATACTTTCACAGTATCTTGGGTATAGTGCCTTATTTTGGAATTAATTATGGAGCATTGCTGCCACCTACTGGCAATGTAGTGAATTACTGACTCTGGGTCTTAAATTTGGGGCGCTGGAACCCAGTCTAAAAAAGAAAGAAAAGATGATTTTCATAAATTCCTATAAATGTACAGGAGCTAGGTCCTGAATTTGGGGTCCTTGTTGAAGACAGGAGCCTTCGAACGATGGCAACAGTATTGACAAGGAGGTCTTAGTTTTCAAAAGGAAAGCCAAATGTCTAATTTTCTTCCCATATAAATTAATGTATTAGAGAAATATATTTGCCATTTACTGTCTTCACAGTCAAGTGTTTTGTCCTCCAGTGTCATGTTTGTCCTCCAGTATCGTGGGTGGGGAAATGTAGTGGATGAAAATATGAGGAATGCCCTTTAGGTTTTTGAAGTTATTGGTTGTTTTTATTGTGCTTTCTTAGAACATCGTATTTGCTTTTTCATAAAACGTTTTGTTGAGGGATAACATGCATGTAAAAAAGGGCAAACATGGTAAGTATACATCTTGATGCATTTTCAGAGTGAAAAAAAAATCTGAAATAACCACAATCCAGATGCAGAAACTCACCCCAAATACCTCTTGCACCCTCCCAGTCACTAGGGAAGTCCATCCTGACCTTGACCCACACCACTTGCTTGTGAGTGCTTTTGAGCTCCTTATAAACAGGATCCTACAGTATCTACTTTTGGGTCTGGTCTCTTTCACTTGACGTCTTTAGGAGATCCATTCGTCTTGCTGAGTGTAGTTCACTGATTCTCATAGGCTGCCTATTACCCAATTGTAGTAAGACAGGATGTACTGTTTAATTCCAGTGTTGGTGGACACACTGCTATTTCGGGTAACACAGGTAACTCCGCTAGGAACAACCTTATACATGCCTCTTGTTGCCCTCACTAAGCATTTTTGGAGAGGTTATCCTTAATGGTGGGGTCCTTAGAGCAAAGGGCATGCGTGTGTACCCTTTTGCGTTAGTAGATTCTGCCAAGGATTTTGTACCCCGAGCAGGCTAGGGAAGTCATGGTTGTCCTACATCTTCAGCAATCTTCCAAAATGCCAGTGAGCATGTGGGACATCTCTTTGTGGTCTTACTTTGCACGTATGAGATGATGTTGAGTGAACTTGAACCAATTCTTGGTGCTTATCAAGCTTTGACTCTTTTGGAAATGCTCGTTCAAATATTTTGAACATTTTTTTCCTCCGGTGTTTCCTTTTTTTTTTTTTTTAAGTTAACAATTTGTATATATTCCAGATGCAAGTTCTTTCTCAGTAGTGCAGTATAAATACTTTCTCCTACTCTGTTCCCTTTTCAGTCCCCACATGACATCCTTTGATGAATAGAAGAAGTTTAGCCAGGTTTTAAAATTTCCTTGATGAGGCGTATGTTTTGTTTATTCTTTAGGAAATCTGTCCCTAAACTAAGGTCATGGAGATAATCACCTTGGTTGTCTTACAGAATTTTTATCGTTTCTATCTCTTATAGGTAAGTGTATAATCCACTTGGAATGGATGTTAGGTAATGAAGGAGTTGGGGGTCAACATTCACAACTGTTACATGGGGGTCTATCATTAACTCAGCACGGGTTATCAACAACACCTTTCATGCCCCCATGCTTTGTCATGTTTCCTTTGCCCATATGTGGATGGATCTATTTCCAGATTCTCGATTCTTTTATTTTTCCCTCTCTTGCACCAATAATTTTGCAACAAAATTTTCTGGAATTTCCACTGGGATTGCATTGAATCTATAGCTGGGTTTTGGAAGGATTAATATCACCAAAGTTTGAGTCTTCTGCTCGTTGGACTTAGTGTATTTCTACTTTTAGATCTCCTTTAATTTCTTCCAATATGTTAATTTTTTTAGTAAAGACCTTGCATACATTTTGCTAGACTTAATTCCTGGTTTTTGGTGGATTGTGAGGCAATGATAAGTAGTGTCATTGTAAACACTAAGGTTCTGCCTGGATTCTTTTGGTTATTCTGTACACACCTTATCATCTGCAAGTGAAACACTGTCCAGTAGTTTCTTAAAATGTCGATCGTACATCTAGCATGTGATCTAGCCATTCCACTCCTAGGTATTTACTCAAGAGAAATGAATGCATATGTTCATATGAAAACAGCAGTTGATTTGTTTTTTTTTTTAAGATTTTATTGATTTATTTGAGAGAGCGAGTGCACAAGCAGGGGGAGCAGCAGAGGGAGAGGGAGAAGCAGACTCCCCCCCTGAGCAGGGAGCCCAAAGTGGGACTCGAATCCTAGGACCTGGGATCATGACCTGAGCCAAAGGTAGATGCTTAACCGACCGAGTCACCCAGGAGCTCAGAACTGGACACAACTCAAGTGTCCATCAGTAGGTCAAAGTATAAACGAAGTGTGGTCCATCCATACAGTGGAATACTACTCAGTAATGAAGAGGAATGAACTATCGATCCAGGCAGCAAAGTTGCAAAGGGTAATTATATCGCGTCAAAGAAGCCAGACAAAAGATAAAACATACCATGTGGTTCCATTTCTGTAAACTTGTAGAAAATGTAAAATAATCTACAGTGACAAACAGAAGATGAGAGGTTCCCTGGGGTTGGAGGAGGAAGGAGGGAGAGATTATTATGGAAACTTCGGGGGACGATAGGTGTTTACTTCTCTTGATTGTGCCCAAATTTGCCAGCATGTACAGTTTAGTCCAGTTTATAGTATGGAAATCGTACTTCAGTAAGGCTGTTAACAAAGCAAGACATTTAATGTTACTGTGTATTCTTGGCACATCTTTCTATTGTTATGCAATATTTGTACTAAACTTTATTGCCTTAAAGCTTTGTTTTGCTTAGTACTTATATGGTATATCTCGTTCGGCATTTTTCCTGCCAACCTGTCTGTGTTCTCATGTTTAGGGTGTAACTCTTTAAGATGTTCAGAATGAGGTTTTGTTTTCTTTCTATCCAAATACTTTTTGCCTTTCACCTGGGGTACGTTGTCGACATTTAATGTAATTACCAGTATATTTATGTTTAAATCTGTCCCTTGGTTTGCTCTTTATTATCACCAATTTGAGAGATCTTTTTCTTTCTTTGTAATCTTTCTTTGGATTGATTAATGTATTTTTAGTTATTCCATTTCAGCCTCTTTTACATGTCAGTTTAGCGTTATTTTGATTATTTTTTAAGTGGTTACCCAGAGATTCCAGTTTTCATTCCTAACTTTGACATAATGTAATATCTTCAGGACTTTGTCGCTTCCAGGGAATAGAAGAACCCCAGAAGGCTTTCAGACAGTCCATTTCCCTCCACATTTTGTTCTATTCTTACAGAACAATATTTTAATTCTGTAGCTACTTTACACAGTCCAAGTTCACTTAGCTATATCATTTTATTTTCATTCCTTATTTCATTCTTTCTATCAGTAATCATTGTCTTCTCTCCAAAGAACTTCCTTTATTATTTATTTTCATTCAGGTTTCATGCTGAAAAATTCCCTCCATTTGTATATCTGAAAATTCCTTTATTTAACCTTCATTTGGGGCCATATTTTACTGGATGTGGAATTCTCACTTGGCAGTTCTTTTTACGAGGGCACTTTGACCATGTTGTTTTGTAATCTTGTGACTTCCATTCTTTCTCTGCAAATTCGTCTTCCAGGCTCAGGGTCTATGCACTTCAGGGTCATTTGTCTCTTTGCTCTGGCCGCTCTTCGGATTTCTCTCTTGGGCTTCAGTTATCTGTTGTATAATCATGGCTCCGGGTTTATTATTCTTTGTGTTTGTCCTACTTGGAGTTTGTAGCTTGAGCCTGCATTCCTTCTGCCCATTCTGTCTCTCTCTGGCTCCCTCGGGTTGAGTTTAATCCGTTGTTAAGCCCACGTTCTGAACGCTTAATTCCAGTTACTGTGTTCTGAACCCCAATAAACGTCAAATATTTAATAGGGCAGTTTCCATACTTCATTGAAAATCTCCAACTTGTCCCTTTATTTCATTTAAAGTATTTCTTACACTTGGTTATAGTCTATGTCTGATAAATCATATATCTGGATTTCATTGTGGATCTGTTCTTGTGGTTTGATTTTGTTTTTCCTCTCGTTCTTCATTCATTTGGTCTTGTCTTGCTCTGTGCTAGTTGATTTTTGATACCACACATCACACTGCATATTTTTTTAGAGTTTATTTATTTATTCGGGAGAGAGAGAGAGAGAGAGAGAGCACGTACAAGCAGGGGGAGCTGCACAGGGAGAGGGACAAGCAGGCTCCCCACCGAGCAGGGAGCCCGACCTGGAGCTCAATCCCAGGACCCAGGGATCATGACCTGAGCTGAAGGCAGGTGCTTCGCCGACTGAGCCACCCAGGCGCCCCTGGCAGGAAGTTTTCATAGAGGTGGTGTGCCCATGCCCTGTTGGAGGTTGAACTGGGGTGAAACTGGGTTTCTGTGTTTCTAAGAGCTGCTCTCTTCCTTTTAGCGCAGTCCCTCATGAAAGCCTGTGGTGCTCAGAGGGTCCCTCCTGAATACCTCATCATTTATGGGTTCCTCAGCCTCAAAGCACTGCTGAACTGTCTGCTCAGATTCTTCCTACAGCCTCTGGGTTGCCTCAAGGGCGAATAAGATGCCAGATGCATTTATTATATTCCTATCACAGACGCAACCCAGCCCACCCACATGATTTCTGCAGTATGTTTGCAGGGACAATTGGGAAATGTGTCAATGTTCTTTAGCCTCTGTAGCAGACAGTGACTAGGTTAGTGTTGCAGAAGCCTTTGGACCATTTATGGCCCCCAGCCCCTGGGTACAAGCTTGCTTCCTGACCGTGAATTGATTAGGCTTTGCTGTATAACAAACAGCCCCAGGTAGGGAAAAAAATCTATGTCTGTGTCCCAGTCAGCTGTGGCGGCAAAGGCATCCTGGGCTCCATGCCGTCACCAAGGGGTCCAGGATCCTCCTGTAGTTCTAGTCCAGCTTCTTCCAGGGTGTCCCTTGTCCACTGTGGCTCTCTGAGAGAGAATTAGCCCTTCCTGCTGAAGCCAGCCATCGCACACAAGGCATTGTATTGTCTCCTATGCACCTGAAATGATCTTGGCTATGGACCATCCTTGGAAGCACTGAGAAAATAGTCGTTCAGATTGCTTTCTGTAGGGGTTTGTTTTCTCATGGAACCCCAGTTGAAACAGGCTGGAGGGATCTTGTTCTTCACCTGACCCGTGAGTAAAGAGGGTAGGAAAAGTGTATCCCGCATCAGTGGAGGTGAGTCACGTGGCATCTCAGTGGTGTGGATGAGAGGTCATCGTACGGCTCCACTGAGGTACGACGAAGACGGGGGCATGTGAGCCCAAGACAAAGGAGCAGACGCAGGAAATGGTGAGCCTGGCACCGTCTGCCCCACACCTGTTCCTTGTCACACTGCCTTTGTATCGTGGAGGCAAACAAAATAGACGGGGTGTTTTCAGGTATTTGCAGGAGGGTTATGCTAATTGGCTTTTCTTTCTTTCTTTATGACAGACGATAGGGTGGCCTGAACTTGAGACATCCGCTGGAGTGAGGTGTGACCCATTGTCACCACCCTCCCCCCAATGTGCAGACTCCTCAGGGACCCAGACCACCTCGGTACACCTCATTTACACTCCTTACGTACCTCTGTGTCTCCTAGTGTTGTTTTCTTGGCATGTCTTTGTCCATCGAATACCAAAGAAGATGCCCCCTGCTTTTCTTCTTCATCCGGTGATCTTTCTGCATGGTTTTCCCAACCCTGAATATCTGTTGTGATTCGTCTATACAGAACTGGGGTGTCTCTTCAGATTTCTGTTTGGTTTGTCATTTGGTTAGTCCATTTCCCTTTAGGAAGAATTAGAAATGACAAAGCTGTAACATCACCATGACGTATATTCTCCCTTTCAAAATAAATTTTTTGGTAGGACTTTGGACCCATGTTTCATATCAGTATTGAAGGATTATGAGTCCTACCCCTGTTTTTGCTAAATTTGCCCTCATGAATCTGGGCTTTTTTACTGTGCATGATCAGAAGTTTGAGCTCAGAGTCTGCTGTGCTCATTGAGACACGAGCTTAGTAAAACGCTTCCATGGGCATCTGGTATAAACTATAGTCAACCCTTGAGCGACACAGTGTTGAACTGCATGGGTCCACTCATACACGGATTTTTTTCAATACATACAGTATGGTACTATAAGTGTATTTTCACATCTTACGATTGTCTTAATCACATTTTCTTTTCTCCAGCTCACTTTGTTGTAAGAATACAGGCTGTGATATATAGAATGTGCTAAATATGTGTTGGTCGACATTTTCTGTTATTGGTAAGGCTTTCGGTCAACAGCAGGCTATTGGTAGTTAAGTTTTGGGGGAGTCAACAGTTATACGTGGATTTTCGACTGTGTGTGGGTCAGTACACCTAACCTCACATTATTCAGGGGTGAACTGTAATTGAATCCCTGTCTGAAAAATTAGCTTTGGTACCTCCCATAAAAACTTCCAGCATCTCATCTTGTGTGAGAAATGGTGGGTGTCAGGGGAGAAGGTGGGAGTGGGGAAGCCCCCCTTTCTAGTCTTTCAGGAAAGGGCCTTTGACACGACACATTCCTTTGATCTTATTTTCCCCTGGCAGAGTGCTCTGTTCTTGTAGTTAAAGCTGTCGTCGCCTGAAACCATCTGCTGACTAACGATGGAATGGTTATGTTTCTAGCAGCCCATGGATAAAGGAGAAGGTGACCCATCTGTGGAAATCTTGGAACCAAGCCAGGAGCCCCCTGTGGATGTCACCGGGGACTCCAGTCCTCAGGATGCTTTGGAGGTGGTACCCTCATTGTCTCGTCTGGCACTCCTGCTGGATGCTGTCCTCCATCACTGGGGCCGGCAGTACTACTCATGCACCAACCTCAATGTCCAGCCTGACTTTGTTGAAATAAGACTCTGCCTCCCTCTCTTGGTGCTTCTGATTTGTCTTTCTCCTTTCCGGCGTTTGCCTGGGGTGCTTGGTCACTTTCTTTCCCATCCTTAATCATCATGGCCTTTCTCTCTTTAAACACTGTTCCGCAAAAGTTAATTGACCTTCAGGGGCTTTTTCTGTTCTTCTTGCTGATTGCCCAGCGAGCCATTGTCTCATATGAAGAGGATAAAAGCAAAAAAATCTGGGGGGTGAACGTTTGGGGCCAAATGGTGCGTGCAGTGCTGTCCTTCCGCTTTCAGATGTCCTTGTCTTAAATTTTCTTCTTTCCACGGATATGTTGAATGAAAGCAATTGCAAAAAAAAAAAAAAATTCTAACAGCAATTGAATGACACCTTTTGCTTTTTAAGTAGTAGTTAATATGGCTCTAGAGCTGGACATTGGGTGTCTGATGAATGAAAGTTAGTATTGAGCACGTGTCTGTTTCAGTGGGTATTAGCAGAATACTGTAGCCTGGGGGACTTATGCACATAGTGCATTTATTTCTCCACAGTTCTGGGGACTGGAAGTCCAAGGTCAAGTTGAGAACCACTTCCTGGTTCATAGACCTCCATCTTCGTGTGTCCTCACACGGAGCAAGGGGCGAGGGAGCTCTCTGGGGTCCCTTTTGTAAGGACACTCATCCCATCCATGGGGGCTCCACCCTCATGACCAGACCACCTTCCAAAGGCCTCCCTCCTCATACCATCCCTATTGGGGGTTAGTATGAATCTGGGGGGGACACAGATATTTAGTTTATAGCAATATTTGCAATATGGCCTACTCTATAATACATTTTTTAGTTTGCATGATGCTTTTACTAGAATGTACGGTGGAGAAAACGTGTACGCTTTTCTCCCTCTTACTTTGTCAGTGTAGTAAATGCCAAATGCACTATTTTGAACTTATTTCTAGAGGCTCCCATGACAGGGTTTCTTCTGAAACTCTGCTGGTGGCATGTGGAACGTGAGCGTATTCAGCTCTGGCGGTATGGCTTTGAGGCAGAGTGATTCGGGTAAATAGCGGTTGGGGGTGACACGGTATGGGGGTGCTGCTGGGCAGACCTCATTTAACAGCTCAGCCATGTGGTGTGGGGGCTTTGGGACCGTTGGCGAGTTCATTACCTTCTCTGATCCATGAGGTGGAGACGGGGGTGCCCACCTGGGAAAGCAGGAGGTGGGGGTGGGGATTAGACTCAGCAGTGGTTTGGAAGAATCCATGATTGTACCTGGCTCATAAAGATTAGCACCAGCCCTACCACCAGGGCTGCTCCCAGCGGATGGCACCGGTAACACTCCCACCTTCTAGGGTGATGCACCTGTACAGGATGCATCCTGTTGTGAGGGGACCTTGTGAGCACCCAGGAAAATGGCACTCCATTACTTGTCCGCTTAACTGGGGCATGTTGACTTTCTCCTCCTATGTAGTGTCTCCACTCCACTGTGGATGACCCTCACTATTTTGTATAATACCATGTTTCATAAAATCAAGGGAGTGTGTGGTTTTCCTAGATAGGTCTCTCCTCTTGTTATCACGGAGGACGCAGTCGCCACACTTTTGTGTTGAGCAATAGTATACCATGTGTTCAGAGATAGTATACCATGTGTTCAGCGATAGTATACCATGTGTTCAGCGAT